TTTATTAATACTGGGCTGGGTAAGAATGTAGACATTTGGAGGTCAGGATTTGAGAGGGACCTGACCTCTCAATGTCTACATTCTTACTCTACTAGTGACCTACGTCTCACCTCCTGGCGCTATATAAGGCTCCATCCTATCACTTCAACTCCAGATTATTCCAGACAATGGAACAATACTCTTCTCCAGACTGAGGGACTGACCACCTCAAAACTTTAAGGGTGATGGACTGATTACATCGTCTTCAAGTCTCTTCTGCTTCTATCAACTTTGTAATAAAGTTGGTAGAATTACCGACAATATGTAAAGTAAAAGGACACAAGTGCAACTAATGTGACATTTATTGTGGCAACGTTTCGCTCTCCAGGAGCTTTATCAAGCCATTACAAACAATACATGGACACAGAGGGTATATAAAGGCTCAGAGTGAGGTGTAATACTAGTGAGGTACCATTTCGATGTTCACTAGTGGTAGTAGTAGTAGTAGTAGTGGTAGTGACAAAAGTAATACAATATGGTAGAGCAATTAATTCGTACATGAGTAAAAGGAGAGCGAAACGTTGCCACAATAAATGTCACATTAGTTGCACTTGTGTCCTCTATCAACTTTGCTGTACTCGACTGAAGAAGCCTACTGTGTAGGCGAAACGTTTCGAAATAAAGATACCTAACTGTTGCATATGTGTCTTACCTAAACAACCTGTCGGTATTTTATACCATTTTATTGTTCACTCTGTCAGACACTGCAACACAAGGGTATCTTGGTACAGACTTGGAACCACATCAACAACCTCTACTAGTGAGAAAGGCTGGATTTGAGAGGGACCTGACCTCTCAATGTCTACATTCTTACTCTACTAGTGACCTACGTCTCACCTCCTGGCGCTATATAAGGCTTCATCCTGTCACTTCAACTCCATATTGTTTCAGACTATGGAACAATGCTCTTCTCCAGACTGAGGGACTGACCACCTCAAAACTTTAAGGGTGATGGACTGATTACATCGTCTTCAAGTATCTTCTGCTTCTATCAACTTTTCTGTACTCGACTGAAGAAGCCTGCTGTGTAGGCGAAACGTTTCGAAATAAAGATACCTAACTGTTGCATATGTGTCTTACCTAAACAACCATACCACATATAAACTATATAATGTAGATCTTAATATTACAGATTCCGAAAAGGATTTAGGAGTTCTGGTTAGCAGTAATCTGAAACCATGCCAACAGTGCATCAGCGTTCGCAATAAAGCTAACAGAATTCTTGGCTTCATAGGAAGAAGTATAAATAATAGAAGTCCTCAGGTTGTTCTTCAACTCTATATACCCCTTGGGTTAGGTCTCATTTAGATTACTGTTTTCGTTCGGGTCCCCGGGTTTTTTTAAAAAGGGAAATTTTAAATGCCATAGAAAATTTAAAAAGGGAGGAGGGACAAAGTTGACCCCAAAAGTATCAGAAATCTTCCCTATGAGGATGGGCCCTGGGGGCCCCCGTCTGCACTCTCTAGAAGGGCGGAATTAGAGGGAAAACGTTTGAGGTTTTATAAGGGGAAAATAGGAATTAAAAAAGGGGGATGAAAAATAGCGTGCTGAAAATCTAGAAAAGACTGGCCCAAACAACAATAATTAAAAAAATGGAAAAATTCGTTTCGGAAAGGACAAAGAATGCGTGGAAAAAAACGCCAGAAAACCGTCATAGAAGCTAAAAAACTTTCGGGAGTTTTTAAGGGGAAATTTTTTTAGGGGGGGGAAATTTAAAATTTCTTATTTGGGTGTGGGTGGGTGTGACTGGACATGACTAGCTTGTGCTACTAGTCGGATGCAGTGCTCCTTCCTTAAGTGATGTGGCTGACCTGAATAGGTTAAGGCATTGGCTTAAGCCAGTGGGAGAATTGGACTGCCTCGCATAGGCCAGTAGGCCTGTTGCAGTGTCCCTCTTATCTATGTTCTTATGTTCTTCTTATTAATACTGGGCTGGGTGAGTGAGCAATTGTTTTAAATACTGGGCTGAGTGAGTAAGCAATTGTATTAATACTGGGCTGGGTGAGTGAGCAATTGTATTACTACTGGGCTGGGTGAGTGAGCAATTGTATTAATACAGGGTTTGGTGAGTGGACAATTGTATTAATACTGGGCTGGGTGAGTTAGCAATTGTATTAATACAGGGCTGGGTGAGTGGACAATTGTAATAATACTGGGCTGGGTGAGTGGACAATTGTTTTAATACTGGGCTGGGTGAGTGAGCAATTGTATTAATACAGGGCTTGGTGAGTGGACAATTGTATTAATACTGGGCTTGGTGAGTGGACAATTGTATTAATACTTGGCTGGGTGAGTGGACAATTGTATTAATACTGGGCTGGGTGAGTGGACAATTGTATTAATACTGGGCTGGGTGAGTGAGCAATTGTATTAAAACTGGGCTGGGTGAGTGGACAATTGTTTTAATACTGGGCTGGGTGAGTGGACAATTGTATTAATACTGGGCTGGGTGAGTGGACAATTGTATTAATACTGGCTGGGTGAGTGGACAATTGTTTTAAATTTACTGGGCGGGGGTGAGTGGACAATTGTATTAATACTGGGCTGGGTGAGTGGACAATTGTATTAATACTGGGCTGGGTGAGTGGACAATTGTATTAATACTTGGCTGGGTGAGTGGACAATTGTATTAATACTGGGCTGGGTGAGTGGACAATTTGCCGACTTTTGCCAGTTTTATCAAGTTGGATTTTTTGAAAAAAAATCACATTCAATATTTACTCTATCCTTGAGAACTGTTGATATTTTTAAATTGAACGTAAATGAGAAGAGAAGAATGGAAAAAAAATCCTTAGTTTTATATTGTTTTAAATTTTAATGAGAAGAGACGTTCCTATTTCTCGGAACATTTTCGTTGACTTTCTCATAAATTGTCGTTTATTCCTCGAGAACGCCTTTAAACTTTTAAACGCTTATATAATGCATATTGGGAAAGATTCATAGACATATTTGCATGAGTGGGCGCCCCATGTACAATGTGTTGCATTGTACATGGGGCATTGTAGTACATTGGTCATTCCAATATTTAATTTCAAGTGATAAAGGAAGATAACCTCTTTGATTGGCTTTAAAATTTCGGAACTCGTGTACCACTTAGATGAGGTTAGTATATTATTAGAGGATGTATGTTCCATTTTGACACGTTTAACCTGGAAATGGTTTAGAATTTGTTCACCTTATTGAATTATATTACCTTAATGCTAGCGAGAGGTTCCTAATCCAAGGAACTGGATTCATCATACCCTTTCTAGATTGAATATAAATGCCTTCCATCCCATTCCACAGGCGCTATATGGCCCCTACGGTTGTCGCGCTTTTCTTGATTAAAATTCAAAAATGTGGAATGGTTTACGTTTTCAGTGGTTGAAAATAGATGGAACCTTTCATGGTAAAATTTTTGAATTCTGTGGTTGAAATAGAAGGAACTTTCATGGTACAAATTTTGTTGGATTCTGTGGTTGAAATAGATGGAACCTTTTCATGGTACAAATTTTGTTGGATTCTGTGTTGAAATAGATGGGACCTTTCATGGTACAAATTTTGTTGGATTCTGTGGTTGAAATAGATGGAACCTTTCATGGTCAAATTTTGTTGGATTCTGTGGTTGAAATAGATGGAACCTTTCATGGTACAAATTTTGTTGGATTCTGTGGTTGAAATAGATGGAACCTTTCATGGTACAAATTTTGTTGGATTCTGTGGTTGAAATAGATGGACCTTTCATGGTACAAATTTTGTTGGATTCTGTGGTTGAAATAGATGGAACCTTCATGGTACAAATTTTGTTGGATTCTGTGGTTGAAATAGATGGAACCATTTCATGGTACAAATTTTGTTGGATTCTGTGGTTGAAATAGATGGAACCTTTCATGGTACAAATTTTGTTGGATTCTGTGGTTGAAATAGATGGAACCTTTCATGGTACAAATTTTGTTGGATTCTGTGGTTGAAATAGATGGAATCTTTCATGGTACAAATTTTGTTGGATTCTGTGGTTGAAATAGATGGAATCTTTCATGGTACAAATTTTGTTGGATTCTGTGGTTGAAATAGATGGAATCTTTCATGGTACAAATTTTGTTGGATTCTGTACAATAAATGCAAAACTCATATTCTGGACAGTTTTAAATTTTAAATGCTATTATGTTGTCCCTCAAAGAAAAAAATATTTTAATTTTGGTTATCTAAGTTATATTACAATTTTATTAATCAAATTAGTTTCTGTGAAATAACTAGAGGATGTCTTTTCTGATCAGAAATAAATCAGAGTACTTAACTTTATTTGGTAATTCTTAGTTAAATCAACATCCTGTTCTTTTATGTGGGAATACCATTTGTGTGCTCTCAATACCTCTGTTGCAAATTTGCATGCAATGTACACCTAACTTGAAAAAAACTTACATAAAATATACTTTTACTTACTTTCTTAATTAATTATTTACTTACATACCTACTTAATTATTTACTTACATACCTACTTAATTATTTACTTACATACCTACTTAATTATTTACTTACATACCTACTTAATTATTACTTACTTACCTACTTAATTATTTACTTACATACCTACTTAATTATTTACTTACATACCTACTTAATTATTTACTTACATACCTACTTAATTATTTACTTACATACCTATTAATTATTTACTTACATACCTACTTAATTATTTGCTTACATACCTACTTAATTATTTACTTACATACCTACTTAATTATTTACTTACATACCTACTTAATTATTTGCTTACATGCCTACTTAATTATTTACTTACATACCTACTTAATTATTTACTTACATACCTACTTAATTATTTACTTACATACCTACTTAATTATTTACTTACATACCTCATCAGTCTTGCTCAGATACTGTGTACGTCTCAATTTGCTTTCTTGGAACTAACTGGATAGATTGAAATATTGCTTTTGATCCAATAATTTGTAAGCCTCACACTAACTCTTCACTGCTGATAATTTAATAACGCATCTATTAAGCTGCATCAATCTAAATGTGCTTCTGTATTTTACGATACTGGTATATTTGTACTGGTCTCTTTGTTCTGGTCTCTTTGTTCTGGTCTCTTTGATCTGGTGTCTTTGTTCTGGTCTCTTTGATCTGGTGTCTTTGTTCTGGTCTCTTTGTTCTGGTATCTTTGTTCTTTTTGAACAATTAGATTTTGGTTGTACAATTCTTAATTTACTCCATGATGTCCTGATTTGTATTATTAACTCGTGCCACACTACTCCAGTCTCGTGCACTGTAGGAGAGTAACTGGTACTGGATTTATGGAATATTTGTATTATTAACTCGTGCCACACTACCAGTCTCGTGCACTGTAGGAGAGTACTGGTACTGGATTATGGAATATTTGTATTATTAACTCGTGCCACACTACTCCAGTCTCGTGCACTGTAGGAGAGTACTGGTACTGGATTATGGAATATTTGTATTATTAACTCGTGCCACACTACTCCAGTCTCGTGCACTGTAGGAGAGTACTGGTACTGGATTATGGAATATTTGTATTATTAACTCGTGCCACACTATTCCAGTCTCGTGCACTGTAGGAGAGTACTGGTACTGGATTATGGAATATTTGTATTATTAACTCGTGCCACACTACTACATTTTTCTTGGATCTCTCAGTGTCAGCTAAATCGTCTCCTTAAGAGGAGTTAGAATGACCCACAAGTGATATCTGCTTCCTCTCTCACTTTGATTAATATACTACAAACCTTCATTTCAGCTATTATTATTACAACCATGGGCAAGCACTAAGCCCGTAGGGGGTCACACAACAATTGTGGAAGAAATGGAAATCAGGTTTAAAGTAAGGAAGAAAAGAATAGTTCAAGTTTCTTGAATCAACAGCTTTTCATTAAATTTAAGGCCGATTTACTGTCAGCACAAACCAGCAGCCTCCACTGAAAGATGCTGTGTGCCTCTCTGTGAAGCGACTCAGTGTGAGCTTTGTTTGTTCATTATGTAATTACAACAGAATGGTCCCCACATATGACTGAGATAGAGGTAAGATCGCCAGGAACGTAACTGTAATTTGAGATTCGTTTTTTGGTTGATTACTGATTCAGATTAACGCCGTTTGTTAGCCGTCTCAAAGTTGCTAAGAGAACACTGGTTTTTCTTGTAAATCGTACATCCCTGAGAGAAAATGATGAGTCTTGAACTGCGGAATGAGCTGCTTAATCTGAATTCATTCCACTGGATGTCATATCCTTCATAACACACGAGCGACCCCAGTCAGACAGTTAGTTTACAGTCTTTATTATGTACCGCATACCCATTCTGTGGGCGGTGCTCAAAAGATTATAGAAGGATATAATGGGTCCAGGGACGAGGCAGCAAAGTTTGACTGCTAAACAAGAGAGCGATACCTGACAGGCAGAGACGAAGGAAGAGTTACCAAGTACCAAGTGTTTGTATTGACATTGCTGGATCCTAGAGAAATGATTTTTGATGAAGCATATTTCATGGCTTAGAAAGCCACATAAGCAAACACTAGGATTTATTTATTAGAAAACATTTCGGTCCTGTGACCTTTATCAAGGTCACAATACCGAAATGTAATAAATATGTCCTAGTGTTTGATTACGTTTCTTTCTAAACCAAGTTGTCGGTATCTAGTACCAAGGTTTATACCAGCATATTTTGTGCGGGTCTCCAGAACCCCACAGCAGATATGAAGGAAGATTTTAAATAAAATATGAGACAATACACGTGTAATGAATACATTGAGATAAAAGCAACAGTTGAGAACTAACCTGGAATGGAAAGTACCATGGCAAAGCCACACCATACTTTCCTGGGCTGACTTGGTCGATGTACCAGATAAGGACGCAGTATATAAAACTATCAAGTATTAACATTAAAAGGATCATTGCTGGTGTCAACTCGTCTCTTGGGTTGCCTGTGTCCCATAAATGGTTCCAGTGAATGCCCAACGCTGCCAAAAGAAAAAAGTCCCAGCACTGACGGTATCTATACTGCATCCACAAATAACATTCAGCACATGATATATATACACACAGAGGTGAATGTCTCATTGTATAAACAGTGAGAGCTGATTTTAAATCACCTTCTAAGAATTAATCTCGACTGGTAGTGTTAACGGGAGTTGCAACCTTAATGGTCCTTGTGATCTTTTTTCTTTTTTTGCAGCAATGGAAATGGGGTTTAAGTTACCAATATTTTTTAATACAGAAATACAAGAGAGGAATTATTTATTAAATATAATAATAAGCATATCTATCTATCTATCTATCTATATATATATATAATATATATATATATATATATATATATATATATATATATTATATATATATATATATATATATATATATATCGTGCCGAATAGGCAGAACTTGCGATCTTGGCTTAAATAGCAACGCTCATCTTGCCATATAGAACAAGTGAAAATTTGTGAATGCAATAATTTCTCCAAAATCATTCTGGACCTAATGAAAAAAATATATTTCATTGTGTTTGTTTAGTATTAAATTACTGTAAAAAAATCTAAAATATATTTAGTTAGGTTAGGCTAAAATAAATTTCTCTTGTTATAACAAGGTTAGGTAAGTTTCCCAAGTTTCTTTTGGTGCAAAATTAAAAATTTTTACATTAATATTAATGAAAAAAATATATCTTTGGAAAGGACTTAATTTTAAATGAGTGCTTGCTAATTGACCAGTTTTACATATTCGGCACGACATATATATATATATATATATATATATATATATATATATATATATATATATATATATATATATATATATATATATAATATATATATATATATATATATATATATATATATATATTATGTGCTTCAACATAAATAATTACAAATTCCACATACCCATGCCAAATATGTTGAAGTTGCAATTTTTTGATTTGTTAACTTCTATAATTCCTGAATAAACAAAGAAAAATAGGTTAAAAATAAGTCCATACCTCTTCCCTCGAACATCTGCATGACCCTGAACGCTAGCGTCATGGCCATGTTGGGGATGAAACAGGCGAGAATCTTGGGGGCGAGTCCCAGATTGTCGTACTTGAAGAACACGAAGGTGTTGGGGATGTAGTAGGAGAAGAGCCAGATGAGGATACCCATGGTTGTGGCCAGTGTGGCTGCCAGGGAAATTAATGAATGAACAATTTAAATAAGAATTTAGTTGCAATTTGAGATGTGTGTATGTGTGTGTGTGTGTGTGTGTGTGTGTGTGTGTGTGTGTGTGTGTGTGTGTGTGTGTGTGTCTGTCTGTCTGTTTTCTTAGGAGAATCTCAGTTACGATTTTTTTTTTGCTGCTTTCCTCATGGCTCATATAGTGGTACCTGCTAAGTTCTAACAAATATGTTGCAACCAGTGTCGAAGGAGCAATAAAAGTTCATACGATTTTGCCCAGAGCAAAATAACTGTTTTTCTTCGGTGCTGTCTGGAAGCATACGTAAGCCGGGACTATGACAAACTGGTGCACTTTGTTCACTTATAGAACTGTCTTGCTAACACAGCTGGTGTGTACAAACATACCTGGAAGATAAAGAGTACTCGACAGTCGATGTAAGCGATTTGGCCGATACTCTAAAGGTATTATATCAAACTGAGCGTAGACTATAATATTTTATTTTTTAGAACGTTAGGCATAATTCCACTGGAGCAACAATAATTTTCAAAGGAATTATATACCTGAGAAAACACGAACAACTAGCAAAGGTGGCTAGTGACTGGCCAGGAGAGGCCACAAAACCGACCTCAGTATCGACTCCAATATCAAGGTTCACAAAACGGGAAGTACACGTATTGCAACAAGTTGGCCAACATTCTCCCTTAGTATTTTAGGTTGGAAAATGAGCAAGTCGGTTGACAGCAAGCTCAAGGTTCTAGCCGGAAACTTACAGTTGACCGAGAAACACATCTTCTTATAAATGTTAATACTGACAGCACCTTCTGATTTGTAGTAAAGTAGCAAATTTTAACTGAAGTTGTTATCATGAAGGATACTGTGGCGTATAGTAGATAATTGTTGTACTCAGCATTAAATATTCCATTTTCCACGTATAGTGGAGGGAAAGTCTCATCAGAGGCTTATGAAAGGGGTTATATCTGGTATTCAATGAACAGCATTTTCACTGAAAATAAATATTACACAGACTATATGTTTTGGAGTCTCAGGTGAATTTCCTACTCTCCATGCGCGCTTGATGATAGGAAATGATGTGTTAATTTGAGGAACCTTCGCAGTAATTCTCACTGACAAGGCTCTTGAACGCGCAAATAGTCATTATTGGGGTTGTTGCCAGTGACAGTTGTGATGTGGTCAGTGCTTATTGCACAGGTAGTATGACATGACATTGAGAAATGAATTAATGATGTGAGCAGGTGACCAGAAATCAGAGAACAATGAGATAAAAACGAAAGGCAGAATCTAGAGGACAGCAAAACTAGGCCAGTGATGAATGTGCTCTGTTATATATAATATAAAGTGGATGTCTTCTACAACAATTTTTCACAAATTTAAATTTCCATGTTAGGAGTTATTGAAGGAATTTGTGATCAACTAATGACTATAACCTATTATAGTATCCGATGCATTCTCAATAATTTACTGAACCTCGCTTCAAATCAGTTTAACCTGTAACAGTTTTCTCCCCCATATTTATGGTGAAAGTTTAAAATTAGTAATTAATCAAACATATTTACATAAAAAACCGTTTTGTTCATGTGGTCAAGAGGTGTGGTCTCTCCAATAAACCACTAAGAATAACAAACACCGCCCAAATGGTAAATATATCACAGATAGTAAAATCTCCAAATTATAAGACTTTCCAGTACTTACGTCTACTAAATAACGTTGAGATTGCGAGACAGAAGGTGATGGAGGAGATCCCATAGAGAACTAGGAGGATCCAGACGAAGAAAGAATCGCTGTAATTGAGGATGGGGGGAACGTAAGCGCCTCTGCTTTGTAGACCAACAGTTATCATGACCGTGATGATAGTGACCATCACCAACACCACCACGAGGGCGTGAAAGAACCATCCAAGCCACAACAACCACCGGTTCATTCCCATCAGGCGCATCAGTTCCTGCAGTAAATAGGTGAGAAAAATGAGAATGGTTAAGGTAAACACTGATTAATCAGTGAAAGAGCTCGATGTCGTAGATCAGAACAATTTAGAGGAAATGCAGATGTGGTAAATAATTGAAGATTTTAGATATTTCAGAAAAAAATTTCGAGTTGAAAGTGAACGTTAGGTGTTAGTTAGGTACAAGTGTGGTACGGAGTGGAAGTTCTCGGAGAAGAAATTGGAAGAATATATATTAGAATGAGATAAAAAATAAGCTTAATAAAGAACGAGGTGATGAAAGTTTAAAAAAAAAAACATAGACAAAGAGAGACTAGATATGAGATTGGATGGAAGGACTACTGAAGAAATAATTGTGTATAGCTAGAGATACGTAGATTTATGAAAATGATGAAGGTAAAAAGTAGGAGGGGCACTGAGGCATTTGTAGGACTCAAGCAAGAGTTTTGAATGTTGCAGCAAGGAAGAGGTTGGAGGGAATGGAGATGTGGTGTTTGGGGGCAAAGTGTGGTGTAAATATTACGAAGAGAATTCGGAGTTTGGAGATTTGGATGAGGTATGGAGTTACAAAAATGTTTTTTCGGAGGACCGGGAAGAGTAAAGAAAAATAGGATGACTAGGAGGCAGTATAAACAGGGAATGAAGGAAAGAGACGATAGGAGTCACCCATGGAGAATGTGGAGGAAGGAGATAAAGGAGTGTTTGAGTACCAGAAGCTTGGACATCCAACAGGCATATGTGAGTGTATCGGAAAATACTGAGTGCAGGCAAGTGGCTTTTATGATATGACATTTCTGTTGAAGCAGTGTGAGCAAGGCAACATTTATTAAGGCATTAAGGGAAACTGGTTTTCTGGGCCTGAGTCATATATAGTGCTACTGGGAGGTATAGGGGTGCGCAAAGCAACACATGTTGCTTTACCTGCTTTTCTGTCTTTGTGTTTGGCTTCCAGTGCATTAGTCAAGAAGATTGTTCCCGAATGCTTGAGAGACGTGGTAGGAGCTCAAGACCCCAGGTTTACTGAAGAAGCGATTCGGTGGGACACCCTTACAGATTCCTCCAGTAGACCAGCTCCTCCCAAAGAACACAAACAGTCCCACTGGGAAAAACCGATCATGGAAAAAATCGCCAACACAATGTTCTCCAACGCCTCAGGAAAGGACAAAGCTCGTCTCCTGGCAGTGAAGGCACCACACTCAGGAGATTTCCTGTTAGCTGTTCCCAATTCCTCCGTGGGCACTCGACTAGACCCACAGGCCATTCGGATTGGTGTTGCTCTTCGCCTAGCCGCCCCCATCCTCACGGAACATGGGTGTATTTGCGGCAGGGCGACAGCTGATCAATTCGGACTTCATGGTCTCGTGTGTCACACAGCAGAAGGGAAGTATGCCAGGCATGAGGAGGTCAATGACACCACAAAGAGAAGCCTCGCCACAGCCCGTTGCCCAGCTCAACGGGAACCCCAAGTGCAGAGGTCTGACGGAAGTCAAAAGCGTCCTGATGGAGCCACTATGCTACCTTGAAAGGATGGAAAGCAGATTGCCTGGGACTACACATGTGCCGCCACATTGGCAGACACCTACTTGCCATACTCCGTATTGGAAGGGGGTGGAGCTGCCAGCCACAGGGAGACCCAGAAGATCTGCAAATATGAAGACCTTCCCCCTTGCTATAACTTCATCCCAATAGGGTCGGAGACCCTTGGAGCATGGGGCAAGTGTGCTCTGAAGTTCCTAATAGAGCTGGGTGAAAAGCTCATCATAGAAACCAAGGACCACAGGGCGACCAGCTTCCTCTTTCAGAGACTCAGTGTTGCGATCCAGAGAGGAAATGCCTGCAGCATTCTGGGCACGCGGCCCACCGCCGGGGAGCTGGACGAAGTATTCGAGATGTAGCTCTGAGTTACCTATGTTGTTTTACTTTCTATCGTATTTTTGTGAATGTTTTGTCAATGTATTTTGTCTTTAAATAAAATATATATAAAATATAGGGGGTGGTAGGAGAAAATTCTCAAACAGCTTCAGGGAGAACTTTGAGTTTTCCCTGAAGCAAGTTTATTCTTTTCTCTGAGGATTAGGGTCCCTATAACAGTTCTAGACGTGGTACATCCCTATATTATATATATATTATATATATATATATATATATATATATATATATATATATATATATATATATATATATATAATGACACGGGGACAGAAAATGGGTCTCATCCTGAATCCATCCAAATGTGAAATCATCTCAGTCAGTCAACAAGTGATAAATGCAGTGAGATCAAAACTACCAGGAGCAGCAGTCATTGCCCCCACAAATAGTGTCTTGCTAGGAGCACCTCTGGGAAGCAATGCCATTGACACAATTCTCAGGAAGAAATTGGAAGAGTTAAGGAGAATGGAACAACGAATAGGCAATCTGGACACCCACGATGCCTTGTACCTTCTCACAAAGTGCTTGAGTCTGCCCAGGTTGACATATTTCCTAAGATGTGCACCTTCATATGATAACCCTATACTGCACGAATATGACAGTATTCTGAGGCAGATTTTTTACGAAAGTACTTAACCTTACTCTAGAAGACGGGCAGTGGAACCAAGCTACACTTCCAGTCAGACTAGGAGGCATTGGTGTCCGCAAGTCATCACAGATTGCGTTACCTGCTTTTCTGTCCTCGTGTATTGCATCCAGAGAGCTTGTAGCAGCGATTCTCCTGAACATCTTAGGACAAGATTGGAGCCCAGGACTAAAAATTCATTGACGGAGCAATGATCTGGGATAATCTAACAGGCTCAGAAACCAGACCTGCTTCCCCCAACAACTACAAACAATCGCACTGGATGGTCCAATAGTGGAAAATATAGCCTCAACGATGCTTCAGAGTGTGTCAGGGAAGGATAGACCCCCGCCTGCTGGCAGTGAGAGCCCCTCATGCGGGGGACTTTCTGTTGGCTGTTCCCAACTCCAGCCTTGGCACACGCCTCGACCACAGACCATCCGCATCGGTGTTGCCCTTCGACTTGCCGCCCCTATTCTCGCCGAACACAGGTGTATTTGTGGCAGTGAAGCAGCAGACCGATTCGGGTACCATGGTCTTGTGTGCCGTAAATCCGAGGGAAAGATTGCAAGACATGAGGAGGTTAATAACACTATCAAGAGGAGCCTCACAACAGCTGGATCCCCAGCAGTAAGGGAGCCACCCCAACTATGCAGATCTGATGGCAGCCAGAAGCGTCCAGATGGTATCACCCTTCAAGCCTGGACAGAGGGGAAGCAGGTGGTGTGGGACTATACATGTGCATCTACCTTGGCTGATACCTATCTCCAATACACCAGGGAGGAAGGAGGGGCAGCTGCCAGCTTTAGGAGTCCCAAAAGTCTAGAAAATATGGGGGAACTTGCCCATCATTATATGTTTGTTCCATAGGCTCAGAGACCCTTGGGCTCATGGGGAAAGAGTGCATCTAATTTCCTTAAGGAGCTGGGAAAAAGACCATCAGGGTAACTAGGGATCCCAGGGCAGCTAGTTTTCTGTTCCAGCGGCTCAGTGCGGCTGTTCAAAGGGGTAATGCATGCTGCATTTTGGGCACACGCCCCAGCTCTGAGGAGCTGGATGAGATTTTCGCCTTATAATCGGTGATACACCCCGTAACAACATGTACCGTATATGCCACCTTTATATCAACAATGTATCTCTTAAATCTTCTGTGCCATATTATGTAATAAAATATTCCTATTGGTAAAAAAAATAGTTTAAAAGATGGGGTGGTAGGGGAAGTGGGAATATTCAAATGGCTTAAGGAAGAAATCCAAATATTCTTCCTTGAAGCCTTTTTATCCACTTCTCCGACGCTATGGGTCCCACAATTTACACCAGAGGTGGACCCCATAAAAAAAATGTATATATGTATATATATATATATATATATATATATATATATATATATATATATATATAATATATATATATATATATATATATATATATATATATATATATATATATATATATATATATATATATATATATATATATATATATATATATATATAGCAAGCAATCGCAGACGGGCGATTTAACTATGCAAGACAAGCCACGGGGGATAGAAATCTGTAGCTCAAGTACTTTTATACTTCTCAGTGCATCATCAGGAGCTGTGCAGCGTTGCTAGAGAGCAACTAAAGCAGGGAGATTTCTCAGGGTAGCGTAGTGCGGATGTCACCATCAACGGTTTCCCTTAGAATGTGGTCAGTGGTGTTGGTCAGTGCAAATCCCACCTTACTGCCTTCCCCCTACTCCCCCATATGGGGTAGGAGGGTTTCTGAGATGTCAAGTATGAAATTATAAGAATAAATAGCAAGCCCCTCCCTGGCTTTATCTAGTCGTTTATAACAGGTCGTTTGGTTTGATAAAATGCGTTTCTCGCTGGATACTATACATATGGATTGCAATATTCTGTGTAATCTTTTTAAATAATTAAAGAATAGGTAAAACTGGTGAATTAACAAGAACTCATTTAAAATTAAGTCCTATTAAAATTTTCTCTTATACGCTTAAAGATATATTTTTTCATTTATGCTAATGTAAAAAATAATGAAGAATTGAGACAGTTATGCAACATATGTGAATCTTCATTAAAGAAACGTTTCGCCACACAGTGGCTTCGTCAGTCCAATACAAAGCAGGAAGATATAGGAGAGGATGAGTTTGAGGTAATCAGTCCCTCAGTCTAGAATCGATGTGTTCAGTCCATCTCTCATGTGGGAAGTACAGTATATGGCCAGAGAGGTGCGTCGATGCAGGAGGTTTTCAAAACCATTCATCAAGTAAAATATAATAATTTTGTACCAGTAGAGCCATAGAAAACTTACCTAACCTTATTATAGTAAGTGCAATTTAATTTAGCCTAATATATTTTAGATAAGTTATAATAATTTAATAATGAGGCTCCACGATAACATATGTTCTCGCATCAGGGAAAACACCTTCAGTTGCACTGAGC